TCTCTCTCTCTCTCTCTCTCTCTCTCTCTCAAAAAATATGTTTTATTTCTTTGGACAAAACATTAGACAGTTATATTATAGGATGAAATTTTTGAATTACATAAAAGAAAATTTATAATCCTTTTATCTTGTATATTTTCACTCTCTGATCTTTTCTGGAACCTACTAAGGGAGGTTATAGAATTTTTAAAAATCCTATATTTAACACTTCATGGCATGTCTAACACTCGGGTACAATTAGAGACCAAGATGGAGTAGCTTGTCTCTCTTTGTTGATAGGCTAACATTGACTTTTTGTCCCAGTGCATGTGCATCAACTTTCTAATCCCCATTTTTAGCTATTCTAAGTAACATACTCATTACACTTTCCTTTTCTGTTTGAAAGAGCAGATCAGTAAGACTGAGAAAAGGGGGGATGGTTTTTCACATAATTATCAGCCCAGCCTGCCTTTCATTCTTTAACTCACAGAGTGAGAAAATATTACCTTTCATTTCATTCCACGAGCTACATCGTGTTTGATGCYGATCTCCGTTAATGGAAAGTTGCATGACCATGAAGTGTTTGTTAGACATTCCGCCATTTTTTTTCTTCGAAGCGCCAACATACTGTGTTGTAGTGCTGCAGACACCTATGCAGTCTGGCTGTGTGACACATACACACACACTCTTGCAATCTAATGACATAGCCAGGGGTTACGCTTCATAATGGTTAAAAGCCTCACTCTGCAAATGCCATTCAGTGCAGGACTGAAGAAATAATGCAGAAGTTAAATACGGTGCAGATTGTGACGAAAGCGGTGTGACTCCGTTTATCGTGCGTGGTTTCTAAATGCAGGACCCCCTTTTCCCCCCCATTATATCATCTCCAAATCGTTAATTATGATCAATCTAAGAAAAAAAATAAAATCATGATCTTCACTGACATCTCTAAAAGATGAAGAACCCCCCCTGCAGCGTGCCCCCTGGCGCACACAGGCAGGCAGCAGGAGAGGAACAGGATGCTTGCCATCATCTCATCTAAGGATGCTCCAGATTTTTTTTCCTCGAGGTCACAGACGCTCTGAGCAACACCCTGCCCAGGCTGTGACACATACGAGCTTCACTTTGAGGGTGAAAGACCCCCGCACCAAAACCAGCTCCTTGGCACACACGGTGACATCCCCGGTCCTTCCAGGGGCAACGTTTGCTGTCTCACTCTATACGCTAGGCAGACATCCACGGCGCGTTTTAAAGCAAGCTGGCACTTCTTATTAATTTTCAACCGAGGCACTGCCTCCGCACTTGTGTCTGTCCGTTATAATCAGCATGTATGTCTTGTTAAGCTGAGCTGAAGCCACGACAGGAATGCTCGGAGTTTTTCGTGCGAAGAAACGCGACCTTCTGCTGCCTTTTTAAAATCGGAGGAGTCAGTCAAAAGCCCGACTTCGATGTAAACAACACACGCATGCATCGCACGGCAGCTGAGTGGAGTACCTGAGAGCAGGAACGCTTTCAATCCTAGAGTAGAAAACGGGCTTTTCTTTCTTTTCAAGCAGAGCCACTGTATGGCTGCACTGAAAGGCTTTTCAGCACACTAGTTTTGATTCAATTCCAGACGGGTTCTTAGTAGCYGCTTAAAAATATCTAACTAAAAGAACTAATTTTATGATAAACATTTGAATTCACAAACGTTCTGTAAAACTTGATCCTGCGAAGGCCTTTTGTGCTCGTCTTGCAAAAATGTGTGCGTTCGATGAAAAAGAACGTAACACAGCAAGATTCAATTAYGGTTCTTCCACTGAATGTCATATTCCAACATTCATAGCACATGAAGGTTATCGTATGCAGCTGTAGGAAAAGACAATGATCTTTTTTTTTAAAGAAAAGGAG